TATATATATATACACACACACACACACTTTGAATAATGGGTTGATGTGTTAAAAACTCTGGACCATCAGTATGAATGACAAATAAATAAACAGTGAAATAATTAAATGTATTTTTAATAAAAAAAAATACATTTAAAATGATATTTGGCTATTTAGTGTCATTTTTTAAAAGGTACATTTATTTTTTAATGGGACATTTAATTAATTAGTTGTGTATTTAATAAATTAATTGCACATTTAATGATTTCATGATGTATTAAATGATACATTTAATCATTTCATGGAACATTTACTGGTCCATTTATTTAATTTCATGATGTATTTATTTAATTTTATCACATTCTACCCTCCATGTGGTTTCCCTCTTTATCATGTGGTTGTTGACTCGCGCAGGAGGAGCTGAAGATGGATGTCACGTGTCCACACAGGGCGGGTTCCTGTGGGACCTTGGAACAATCCAGGAAGCAGTTGTAAACACTCCCACCTAGCGGCCTTCGGTGGTGGCGCAGGCGCTCTTTCCTCCAGTACCACGACCTTGAACTACATTTCCCAGAGCCCCTCTCTTCAGGACGAAAGCAGTCATGCGGATAGAAGCAGGAGTTGCTGTCCGCGCTGCGAGGGGAAGAAACTTCGAGGGAAGATGCACGAAGAGGAGGATGGCGGAGACTCAAACTCCTGCTCTGCCCCGCGCCTGCCCACCTTCAAGTCCGTGGACGTGGCCGACCTAGACTGCGGGAAGGAGCAGGCCTCCAAGCTGTGCGGCTACTTAAACAAGCTGTCCGGCAAGGGGCCTCTCAGGGGGTACAAGCTGCGCTGGTTCGTGTACGATCCGAGGAAATGCTACTTGTATTACTTCAAGACTCCCCAGGACGCCCTGCCCCTCGGACACATCGATATCGGCGATGCGTGCTTCATGTACGACGTGGAGGGGGACGAGGGCCAGTTTGAGGTCCGCACAGACGGCAAGGAGTTCCTCCTGAAGGTAGAGAACTTTTTCAACATGACGGTACTTAAACGCAGCACGCTGTTTGGTTGTCATTTGTCACTACTTCCTTTCTCGTTTTAATGGGCAGCAGACACGCCCTTTTTGACAGACTTTTTAAAACAAGTATGCTTTTATGCGCAATAATGAGAATGTTCCAGTTAACAGAGTCTTTGACAAAGCCCGTAAACGCCTCATCAACAAACTGGAGCAGCTGTTTGTATTTTGCCTCAGATGTTCGATGAGCTCATCGTGGGGTCACAACATCTCGTGTGATGGAGTCCTGTTCCTCTGCTCTCATATGACTCTGACTGAAACAGGTGGCCTGGCTCGAGAAGTCTTGCTTTTCTCCATCAGGAGGTCTCACTGGTTGATACCAAGCAGCTTTCACAGCCAGAAGCTGGATCTGAGACTGAAACCAGCATCTCTGCTCATGCACATGACGAGTCTAAATAATAACCTGCTATTTACACAGCTGCCGCATATTTTAGCACAGTTTATTTTGGTAGTGCATGGTCAAAACGGTGTGCTTCTGAAAGAGGAAGTTCCTCTTTACTGATCCAAGTGAATAACCTTGATGCTGTGTGTATGTGTGATGTTTCCAGGCCCCCAACAGGCAGGTGATGCTCTACTGGCTGCAGCAGTTGCAGCAGAAACGCTGGGAGTACAGCAGCACACGAGGCGGCGGTCAGAGAGACAGCTGGAGCTCCCCGACGCTGGTTTACCCTCCCACCGGCCTCGTGGGTAAAGATATCGGTAAGCAGGTGCACACACACATTTATCAACAGTTTGCACACCTTTTAACTCCTCAGTTTCATCATTCCCATACACCAAACTGTAGTCAGAGGACACAGTCGCTACAAACTAAACAATCTGTCTCCTGGAAGAGTGTGTGGGGGCTCTGATGCAATGAGTCAACACAAGGAGAAAGAGTTCTTATCAGCTTTATTAAACAGGATGAGTCTTATTGTACTGTTTTTTTTTTTAGTTTTATACAGACTCGCCTCTAATAAATTTGCTCTTAATACAAGAGGATCAATATATAAACCCAAAATGTTGATGTACTCAAAAAATAATCCCTAAACGTATGTCTACACCTGATTACTTCTGGAGTAAATCCAATTGAAGATGGCTGCCACAGCTAATCGACCTTAGTGAACACAAAAATGGCTCTAGCTCAATCAGCTTTGCAGATCTTGAGCTAACACTTGGCGTGGTATTAGCTATCCTCTACACACACTCCAGTTGCTTCACATTACCCAAGCTCTTTGTGTAAAACTAGCAAAAAATCTGCCATGAACCAGTGGATGGGTTTAAAAGTTAGCAACTGAGAGTGATGCAGCCAATGCAGACATGTTCCTGTTTTTAGTTTTCTAAATCGTCTTATAATAAAGCTGTTTTTTTGCTACTATTCCTCTTGATTGTCCTTTTGGTTGCTATTTTGTTTCGATTTGTTAAAAAAAGAAAAGAGAAACATAAATTTGTATGCCTATTTTATGACCGTCTATTGTTGTTGTTGTTATCCATTGCTGTCATCACTCTTTGTTAAGAAATCAGGTCTCTCTTGTAAATGAGTCCTCGAGGCTCAATGGGATTAACCTGTCTAAATAAAGGTTGAATGAATGATCCTCAACAGTTACTCTGAGTGCATCGCAGCTTGCAGGAGGTATCCATGCAACGCCATTTACGCTTGACCAAAAGAGCTAGAACGCCTTCCTCGCTCAGCACTATCCACCTGTCTTGCGTGAATTCTGGGCGCGACTTCCGGCATGGACCAGAACGGCATTTGTTTATGTGTGAACAGTACAAGTTAAGTTAATCTGAGAATTACCGATTTAATTTAAACATGTGGGAGCACCACCTGTCGGAGCTCTAACAGGACAATATAATCATACCGCTGCCTGCTGCAGACAAGGGATGGAGGACAACCTGAAGAAGTGGCCACAGCTTACATCCTCTAGCATATTTAGCTACTTATACTAGCATATTTAGCTACTTATGCTAGCGTATTTAGTTATTTATGCTAGCGTATTTAGTTACTTATGCTAGCGTATTTAGCTACTTATGCTAACGTATTTAGCTACTTATGCTAGCGTATTTAGCTACTTATACTAGCATGTTTAGCTACTTATGCTAGCGTATTTAGCTACTTATGCTAGCGTATTTAGCTACTTATTGTAGCGAATTTATGTACTTATGCTAGCATATTTAGTTACTTATGCTAGCATATTTAGTTACTTATGCTAGCGTACTTAGTTACGCTAGTGTATTTAGCAGCTTACGGTAGCGTATTTAGCTGCTTACGCTAGCGTATTTAGCTGCTTACGCTAG